CTTTGAAATCTGACTTTCCTCTGTGTAGCGCTTGTTCCCACTTCAATTGAGAGTACAGAGACATTTAGAGGACAGCAGAGGCCAAAACTCCAGAGCCTCGGCTTCACAAAGAGTCCAGCCGTTTGTCTGAACTTCAAAGAGTTCCCAAACAGATTTAGTTTGAATTGAGAGTCACCTTAGTCAGACATTGTAGGAGCAATAGGTTGAAACAATAAGTCTTTTTAATACCATACCATACAGATAAAGCTATAACATCTGCTTTAAATAAAAAAAACATCTGACGGACCCTCCACCAGAACATTTACACAGTGCACCTTTAGCTTTAACCCTTTCCCCCTTGGACGCCCACTAGGAACAACCCATACATGTATTACTAGGACTACCATAGAGCATAATAAAATAAAATAAAACAAACTTCCACGAGTGATTAGAAATGATTTTCACACTCATGAACTTGATTGAAACACAGACATATTTAGTATCTTCTGAAACCTTAGACTCTGAACTCTTCATTTCTGGATGTTTAAATGTGATTCAACACATTTACAGGTTTATAACAGCTCACTGAAAATGAGAGTTTACCTGGTCAGGTGCAAAATCGAAAACAAAAAACTACATTCAGCATCTGATATCTGCATGTTCTGAGTAGTGTATTCATAAATGTTTTAAAAAATATATTTGTCAAAGTATTTCAACAGATTTCATATCACCAGATACAGTAAAGCCAAGTGTGCACCTGTTTTTACCTGTTGTACACCTGTGTGGACCTAATTAGTTTTTTCCATTTAACTTATTCAACTCATTTAGCTTATTATAATATAATAATATAATAAAACTCTTCCCTGTCAGTATTTGTCATCTTAGTTAGTTTCTCGTGTGCAGAGCTCCATGTAAGTATTTGTTTCTGTAGCAGTTCTGTCATACAGCTCATCTTGGAAAAAAAATAGATGAGCAACAACCTCAGCAACATCCAGATTTCGAGGCAATTTTGGTCCATAACTGAGTATAAAGTCCCCGATAGTTTGTTTGAATATCACATTGCTCCATGCAGACACATCACCGGCATTCTCATCTTGGTAAATTTCACTCTCCGAAAGTCCGTTGCTACTAATACTACTAATACTACTACTACTACTTCGATTAACTTTGGAAAAAAATGGCAAAACATATCCTTGAATCCTATTGGTCAGCTCAGTGTGGGTTGTAGTGGCTCCACCTATCACAGTCTCTGTTTACATGTGAAAAACATTAACCATTTCTAATGGTCGTCAAATCATGTCTTTAGTGATACAGCGGAGGTGTCAAAACATGTCTTTAAGGGTACGGGGGGTCAAATGTCCTCTTCATGGGGGAAAGAGTTAAGGTTTAACAACACATTTTGCTCAGTGATTTCTAGCTTTGTAATGTGGTTGAAATTTGTTTGGAATTTGGAATGTTACTTTCTGGATGGACTTGGGCTAAAGATATGATATAGAGATAACAAAAGCACGTCTAAACTGCACAATAGTTATGATTAGACTAATAAAGATAAACGACAACATCTTTGTTTTGTTAAAAGAAGGTTTATATTCAGGCACTATTTCAGCAGTCCCTACATTTTGGATGGAACTTTCTGTTGTAGAAGTTGTCAGCTTGACCAAGAAAGGGTGGAAGTAAAAGTCTGGAGACCAACTGGACGTCTTAAGCAGGAGAAGTTTATTTACCGTCAATAATACGGGCCCGGGAGACATGAGAAGTCAACATAGTGTGACTTCAAGCCCCTTTTAATGGTGTAAATATCGATTTTGTGAGTCAATGTTAAACTGAGAGATGCATGTGGAGGATAAATTACTTAAATTCTCTTACACTTCCTGTATTGACGACACTGAGGGATTCTGTTGTAGAACTCATCTATCTGTGATAAACATTCAGCACAGGCCCCACCCAGTCACAATTAGAAAAACATACCATTGTCTCTAGAGTAAGGTGACCAGACGTCCCTATTTAATCGGGACAGTCCCAGTTTTGAGTCTGTGTCCCTGTCCCAGCAGATTAATCCAAAACCAGTAATTTGTCCCAGTTTTATTCAAGAAATGCCCCAGGTGCATCCATTGTCATTTGTATCCATTTGTATAATTTGTATTGTCATTTGTTTTGGTAAAATACAAAAAATTGTCTTAAAAACTACCAAAACACAATGAAAATGTGACTCGTGTTCGTCATGAATGGTCTATGCATAACAATTTTCCTTATAACCCGCTAATTTCACAATTTTATTATGACCAACCACCACAAACTGAGAGTCCGTTCCCAGTTTTTGATTTTGAAATTCTGCTCATCTTACTCTAGAGCGTTAAGTGATTATGTCATTTCCAGGTCCAACCATAAACTTTACAACTGATTTCTAGTTAATTGTTGTTCCTTATTCATCAAACAAGAGACAGATTTCTTTTAAAAAGTGCCAAACATGCACTTTTAAAAGAAATCTGTCTCAGTCTAAGGAGAAACAGTCTGAGGTTAAATAGTAATGTAATAATAATCTGTCATAACACAGGAACACAGTCTTAATTTAGCCTCCCGTCTTCCCTCAGTTTATGTGCTTTTGACCTTTGGAGCTTGAAACAACTGCAGTCTCTTTTTAATGTGTGTTCATTCACTAGAATCACAATCAGGGTGACCAGAATTTCAAAATCAAAACCTGGGACACTCCTGGTTTGTGGTGGTTGGTAATAATAAAATTGTGAAATGAGTGTGTAATTAAGGAAAATTGTTCTGCACTCGGCCCATTCACGACAAACACATGAGCCTGTACAGTCACATTTTCTTTGTGTTTTGATCATTTTTAAGCAGCTTTTCTTTATTTTACCAAAACAAATCACACTTTTTGTTTCTCTTTACTGTTGGCAAAGATCAGATTAGTCAAAAATAGGGACACCTGGGACACAAATCACTGGTTTTATATAAATATTTTGGGACAGAAGACATGGGGCTCAAAACTGGGGCTGTTGCATCTGGTCTCTCCTGGTCACAATAGTCATCTAAAACCCGACAGGCTTGTCAAACCTGATCCTGTCATGAGTCTGAAACTAATGTGGAATAACAGTGGGAATCCCAGGAGCCACAGTGGGACACCGGTGACGAAAACTGTTGTTGTGTCCTCAGTATGGATGTAACAGTAACTGAAATATCATGATATCATAATGTCAAAGGTCTCACAATAACACTGTGGACCATCATAATATATCAAAGAACTCTTCAGGCACATGCACACAGACAAAAATCCAGTATTAGGTAAATAAGCCCCAGTCATACAAATAATCCAGCACATTCAAAAATTAAACCATGGCAGCATTTTGATGACCACGTGGTCTAATAGATATTGAGTCTGACTTCAGGTGAGGAGATTCAGGGTTTGAACTGCTTCGTGTTAATCAGAGTATTCTTCATTGTTTTAATGTTACTCACAGAGAATAGAACGTGAAAGGCACTGCTGGGATTTGAACCCAGGATCTCCTGTTTACTAGACAGGCGCTTTGACCAACTAAGCCACAGCACCTACACTTCCTGATGTGAACATGTAAGAAAGCAACAATTTGGACACTTGGCATATTGTAAATAATAGACAAATGATCCTGCTCATTTGCAAGCGAGTAAAAACAGTGACCCAGGAGCATGTGGCATGATAGGTCGGGCCTTTGACTTTGGATCAGAAGATTGAGGGGTTGACTCTCTTTGTGATTATCAGAGCACGCTTGTTTTTTGGACATTTACACAAGAGAACAGAAGGTGAAAAGGCACTGCTGGGATTTGAACCCAGGATCTCCTGTTTACAAGACAGACGCTTTGACCAGCTAAGCCACAGCACCACCCACATACACCTTACGCACATGCACCCAGATGAAAATCCAACATTAGTTACAGTGTAAACAAGCCCCACTTCTACAAATCATCCAGTACGTTCAAAAATTAGACCATGACAGTATTTGATGACCATGTGGCCTAATACATACTGTAAGGAGTCTGACTTTAGATGAGAAGATTGACAGTTTCAATCCCTTTGTGGTTATCAGATCATGCTATTTTTTGGATATTTACAAAAGAGAAGAGAATGTGAAAGGCACTGCTGGGACTTGAACCCAGGATCTCCTGTTTACAAGACAGGCTCTTTGACCAGCTAAGCCACAGCACCATCCACATACACATGCACACAGAGAAAAATCCAATAATACAAGCCTCAGTCATACAAATCATCCAGTACATTCAAAAATTAGACCATCACAACACTTTGATGACCATGTGGCCTAATAGATCAGGAATCTGACTTCGAGTGAGAAGATTCAGGTTTGAACTGCTCTGTGGTAATCAGAGTATGTTTGATTGTTTTAATTTTTGCTTAAATAAAAAGTTATGGTGCAGTAATAGCTAAAAAAAAAAAAAAAAAAGGAGGGAACTACACAGACCATGATCCTTTGCTCCATTTCAATGCAGACTACAAGAAGAAATAACAGTTCTAAGCAGTTTTAAGTTTTAGTTCTTTGGATTAAGTCTTGTCAAGGCATTTTACAAGTATTATACAATTATACAAGTAGTGTATTCACAGTTTTGTTAGTCTCCACGAAATACTGCAGTAAATATTGTACCATGAGATATGTATTGTCAAAATACCGTACTGAGAGATTTAGATATCATTACATCCCTAGTCCTTAGACAAGACACTTCACTTACATTGCCAGGTGAGACTGTGGTGTGAGTGTTGGTGTGAGGGGCTGATTGCGCAGACTGGCAGCCTCACTTCCACCAGCCTGCTCCAGGGCAGCTGTGGCTACAGTAGTAACTTAGCCCCAGTGAGTGCGGAGTGAATAATAATGATCTGGAAAGTGCTCTGGGTGTCATAAGAGGCTCCGTAGAAATCCAATGAATAGTTAATTAATTTTAAAAAGAGGAAATTGTAACATGTTCTTTGTTTTTAATCTGATGGACAAAGAAGTGATATCACACTTCAAAACTCTCTTGTGTTGTAGAAAAGTCTGGAGCGGTGGACTTCTCCACGTTCCTCACCATGATGCACAGGCAGATGCAGCAGGAGGACCCTAAGGCTGAGATCCTGGAGGCTCTGAGGATGACCGACAAGCAGAAGAAGGGCTACATCCAGGCCACGGAGCTCAGGGCCAAGCTCACCAGCATGGGGGAGAAGCTCACGCACAGAGAAGGTACAAGGGCTCCTCCTGTCTCCTCTCTTCCCTCCTCTTCTCCTCCTCTCGTCCTCCCTCACTTTCCTCACTTTTCTTCCCCTCTGCGCCCCTCTCCCTCCTGACCTGTACAGAGCAGATGTGTGTTAAAGAGGTGCTCTTCTATCACTAATGGAGCACACAGTGTACTCTCTGTACTTAAGTGCTTCTCCTTATTGTCTCCACTTGTAAGTATATGTCTTATATAGAAGTATCTGTCTTATGTAGAAGTATATGTCTTATATAGAAGTATATGTCTTATGTAGAAGTATATGTCTTATGTAGATGTCACTCTGACCTCCACCTGCAAGAACCATTTTCACGATTCTAACAGTTTTGATATGAAAATAGCACATATTAAAGAACAATGTCACTAATGTATGCAGAATTGTGTCCCAGCCCAGAATCGAGCTCAGTGCTGTTTGTTCACATGTTCATATGATCATTTTACTAATAACAATGTAATGTAGATTTATCCATAATTACAAACTCCACATGACATGGACATGATGATCATTCTCAGTTTATGTTCAGGCCTCCAGAAGTCCCTCCCTGAGCTGCAGAGGCTGCACTAGCACTGGGTTTAAGGAGAGACAATTCAGATCAGAGAGACATTTTAGGTTTAAACACACTGGATTTCTGCTTCCTGATTGGATGATCTTTTGTTTCTTTTGTTTTGGTAACTTAAGAATAAATGAGCATTAGAGTTGTCATCAGTAAAAGCTCTAATAAGACTAATGTGTTTGGAGACATGATTTTGGAAAAGAAAAACTAAAATTCTAAACACTCCCCTTTCATAAAGACAATAGTCATTAACAGTGTTATAATAGAGTTCACTAATCACACACTTATGAACAAACACCAGCTGTATTTTGACTGATGCATGTTTGGACGACATCTAAAACCTCTTGAAGCATGTTTTGATCTTTAATATTGCATTTGACTGTTAAAGACACTGTACTCACTTTTCTCTCTTGTATTTGAGCAGAACTTTCTTTTCCTCTGTACTGTTGTGTGCTGTTTTCAGCTAATTTGAAACTACTTTATTGGCTGATAATCAGAAGGTATGTGTTAGTATGTTAGTTGTTGTTAGCTTTACAGTGATGTCAAACCACTACACTTGTCTTAAAGTTGTGGAAAGTGCTCATCACAGTGAATAATTAGGATGCTCAGAATGCAGAGAGAAAAAACACTGCAAACCAACATCAAAATGTGTGGAAGCCAAAGAGTCCACAGAAAACAATCCACCTTCACATAAAACTGAGTGTATTTACCATGTTTTCAATGTAATTATTAATAGTTAAATTTGTCGTTTATTATCCTCTCCAAAATCCAAACTCCAGCTCCAATAGCAGGATTACGGGGTATATGTAGTGCAGAGATAAGAGGAACAGTATCTTCATCTGAATGGCCTGTTGATGATCTGAGCTGTGGTGGTTACAGATGGTTACTCGTCTGTCTGTTGGTCAGTGGGCACTGGACCATGGTCAACCTGTTCCAATATGGCAAAAGAGTTAGTGAAAAGTTTAAAGGAGAACTAAACACGTAAACTCTGCTCATTACCACATGTCAAATAGAGCTGATAAACTGGGCACCTGGAGGATTAAAGGGGACAGTGAGGGGGAGGAGGGGTGGGGTCTAACAAGTATCCACACTTCAAACTCACATTTACAGGACAGTGTTTGTAATGTCACGTAGTACTTGAAATTGCAGCACAGGCTCAATTTGTGACTGTTTTGAACAGGATTTGGAAACAATATTATTCAAAAACCAAAAGAAAAAAGTCTGTATGCAATTTACTATTTTGTTACTTTGTCTTTGTGGTACAGTAACAAGGGATTTGAGCCTATAATGAACTGACTGACTAATGAACTGATTTAGAAAGTCTTTCCAAAGCTTCAGGAGCGTTCACACTTGTCCTGTTTGGTCCCGGTTTGACTTCATAGTTGAGTCCTGGTTTGTGATGTTTCGAGATGTGCCGAGGCTTCGAAGCGTGTGTAGAGTAATGAAGGGGGTGTTTCCGTGAAGCACGTATCAAGGCTCGCTTCACTTGGGGGAGGAGCCAAAAATAATGACGTCCGAAACCTCGCTGCCTGGCTGTACCACGTGACTGCTTCAGGAAGTGGTTCACATTTTGCAGCGAGCTGTTACAGTGATATAGACCATCAGGCTCCAATCAAAATGTGGTTGTTTAGAGAGCTGCGCTCAGTTGAGAGTTTGATTAGAGTTTGGAGAGTTTGGATACTAGAGTCTGGATAGAGAGAGCATTCATTGTAATTCATTCAAAACCAAAAACTATTGAGAAACTCTTGTTTCTGAATAAAAATAAATAAAATTTCCCCTGTCCTATACATCATCGTGCAAGTTACATAAGCATAATCTCTGCCCTTTTCCTAGTTCCACAAGCACTTTCACTGTCCTCTGCCTGATTATGGCCTTGCCATTTTCAGAAAAAACTGCTTCACCTGCCATATTATGATATTACCATTTTGGGAAAATTTACACACACAGAATACAAAATGTATTCTACACATATGTGATAATATATAGAGAGAAATGATTTGGTCATAAATCTTTTGTAATTCATATTCATTCCCAACAGACAAAACAGAAATTCGATGCATCAGACATGATGTGGTTCAGATCCAGCTGCCTGTGATTACACATTTGGCCAGTAGGTGGTTTCGTGCGCACATGAAGCTTCAAGAAATGAATCCTTTCTTGAACCAACTGGCTCAAGTGGTTCAATGCCTCATGAGGCTTCATCTCACCATCACTAGTCCTGGTGCAGACTTGGTTTAGCCCCTGTCATGTGGTGTGTGTGCAGGAGCTGGGGCACAACATCAAACCATGATTTTCTCTTGTTAAAATGTGGAGAACTCATTTGGCTGACACTCAGATGTAAAGTTTTTATGGTTTGTCAAATAGTGTGTGGTGTGATTTGTCATTTGAATACAAAGTGTAATTCTTAGTGACACTTGTGACAGAAGAACCACGTCTCCTCTGGATGTGAGCTGGACCCCCCAGTCTGCAGCTGTCACATTAGTGCTTCTGTCTGCTACAAGGAACTAACACACTGTACAAATCACATCATAAAAATATAATGTATATATCAAAAGAGATATTAACTGACAAAGTGCTCAAACTTTTAAGCGAAGAAATAAATGATGAGTTATTATTAGCAGCTCTTCACTTTGGGGGTAACTAACTGGAGAGTTGCTGGTTCAATCTTGTCTGTGTTCACACTGCTGATGATGTGTGGTCACACTTAGGACAGAAGGAATCTGATGTTAAACATACAACCTACAAACAAACCCAGAATCAAACCCAGACTGAAGGATGGAGGTTGTGTTCATGCACCATTTGATGATGTCATAGTTTTTAGTTTTTGACCAACTAAGGCTACGTTTACACTGAAACAAATCACTGTATCACCGTATTACTATATTACTCTATCACTGTATTGGAAATGATCTGTGTCCACACACATGGTTTCTGTGTCCACAGGCCTTTCCTGTCCTCACAGCTTTGAGCAGATTTGTTTACGTTTTACAGAAATTAAACTTAAAACCTCAGTTTCAAGTGCTCAAAAAAAAACAACAGCTCGCTATTGTGTTGATGCGGTTCAGCTTCTGTGGGACTAATGGACACGACTCAGTGGAATATGAGTGTTCTTTCTGTGACAGAGGGGTGTTCTGCTGATGGTGAGTCTGTTCTGTGTTTCTGTCGAGTTGGAGATGGTTCATGTGAAACTTTTCAGAGATTATACGTGTGCAGGTCATACACACAGACACACATTTATATGAATGGACACATATTCTAATCTCTTAGTGTTTTGGTGGTGAATTACTTCACGGTGCACAGACCTACATCAGAGTATCAGTGTTTTCAGGCGTCCACACAGTGCCGGATCAGATCTGTACTCAGATGAATTTGTGAGAGCTTGAGGCACCAGATCGTTCCATCTATGGAGCCGTTTTCAATCAGATTAGTGTGAATGAACACTACATCCACAACGAAAACCACTCGAACTAGTGTGGATGACTGCAGTTTGAGCAGTTTGTTTTTCCTGTATCCATAGTGACCATTCATGGTGGGGCTAGCTCTATTAACCGGCTAGCTCTGAAATGCTACGGACATTTTACACCAGATATGGCAGAAGATGTCACCGAGGAAATGTCCCATCTCATCACCGATCGAAACACCAGAGAGGAGAGAGAGGATTAGGAGAGGCTTTGCTGTGTGTCCAGAGGTCACCTGATGCCCCCTGGAGGCTGCAGGACACAGAGGAAGGACACTTTTATCCTGAGGACTTTTACTTTCCTCAAACTGATAGATATAGAACTACATACTGATATAGAACCTGATGACGTGTTGAGCTGCACTGATGCTGTTGTTTGAACGTTTCTATAAATGTTATATTTTACTGCTCAGTGTGCTTAAGCTGCCTCTTGGGGACAAAAGTGATATTAATTTCCACCATAGAACTGTGACCTGTCCTCCAGCTCTGTTGTTGTTGTGCTGTTGTTATGTCACTTGAACACTGCCTATTAACTCGACCATATCGGGCATTATTATCAGACATAATTAGCATACACAAGTGAACATACGGTATCATTACATCACTTGACATACAGTGTCTTTGTGATAAACAGGATGAGAGGAGACGCTGGAGCAGATGGCGCTGCATTAAAGGGTGTTTAAGAGTGATTTATTCTGCTAAATGGACTTTTGGAGCTTTTGAACATCACAATTAGACATTGTTAAGTCATTTATGTTTTACCACTCCACTGTAGAACAATGAGACCCTCAAATGTACATGTTTAAGAGAGAGACCCCCGAAACTCAATACAACCAGGAGCCCACAGCCAAATGAATTCAACAGCAGTGAAATAAGTTAAATCTGGTTCAATGTAATCATGATAACTGCTGAACATTCTGTTATATCGCTCACAGATGGAAGCATCACCAAAAGAGAGTAGATTATATTGAAATACTGCTGATGTTCAAAAGTCAAAGTTGTACTTGTGTTTGTTTGCAGTGGATGAGCTGTTCAGAGAGGGCAACATCAAGCCCAACGGGACCGTCAACTACAAACAGTTTGCTGAGATGGTGACGCTGCCCCCTGTGGACTACTGATGGCACTGCAGGAGGACGGAGGAGACAAAGGCTGAACGTGTCCCCTTAGAATGATATGGTCCCAAGTGCCTTCTGGGTATTTGTGGGTAGTTTTTAACCTCTCACACAGCAAATTAGACACTTGGAAATTGGTTTTGCTCATAAAAAATCTCAGAAAACATCCAAAATGTAAGAATAATTGAATCAGGACTTAACTGTTGGACAGGACCATATCCTTTAAAAGGGACACTGTGTTCATTTACAAATAAATATTCTTCTTTCTTGAGTATATGTTTGTATAATGCATTTACATTGACTTGTTCTTTTAATGTGTAATAAATAAAGGCAAATCCCAAATGTTCATTAACATCTTTAATTGTTTAATGTTAAACAAACTGTCATTGTATGTTTATAATAATGTGATGTATAAGAAGTGAACATTATTCAAAAGAAGACTGTTTAGATCAGGGATAGGCCACATCAGCGAGTCGAGGGTCAAACCTGATGCCAGTTTGCACATCAAAATGTTCTTCAGGAATGAGGTTTAGGATTACATTGACTTCATATACTGGCAAATTGACTGAACTGAATGAAAATAGATTCTTATTTCAATTTCAGCACCAGGACTTGGACCAGAATTAGACCCTTAGAGGACCACATCTAGCCCGTGGGCCCTTCTTTTGGCACAACTGAGATAATGTGTTTTTATTTTAATGTATTTATGCAGTAGACAGTTTTAAATTATAGATCACATTTCAAACTTGATAAAAGCTAGTTGATCTTATTATTTCTAGTCAAAATAAAATTCATCTGTCCTGTTAATTTATTAAAGATGCACTATCACCACTTTGAAACTTTCCTTCATCTATTTTGTATTTATGTTGTGGCGTCATGTGATAATAAGTTTTGTAAGTGAAGTATAATTATATGTTAAATGTGTTTTTAAACTCATACACCTTCACCAGAATCATTTGGGTGATTTCAGCCTTGAAACTGCCAATCTCTACTGTCTGCTCCCCCCTCTGCGCCCCTCTCCCTCCTGACCTGTACAGAGCAGATGTGTGTTAAAGAGGTGCTCTTCTCTCACTAATGGAGCACACAGTGTACTCTCTGTACTTAAGTGCTTCTTCTTATTGTCTCCACTTGTAAGTGTATGTCTTATGTAGAAGTATATGTCTTATGTAGAAGTATATGTCTTATGTAGAAGTATCTGTCTTATGTAGAAGTATCTGTCTTATGTAGAAGTATCTGTCTTATGTAGAAGTATATGTCTTATGTAGAAGTATATGTCTTATGTAGATGTCACTCTGACCTCCACCTGCAAGAACCATTTTCCTCATTCTAACAGTTTTGATATGAAAATAGCACATATTAAAGAACAATATCATTAATGTATGCAGAATTGTGTCCCAGCCCAGAAACGAGCCCAGTATTGTTTGTTCACTCAAAAACAAACTCTTTAAAAGAACAGATGCAAAGTCAAGATTTTGTATTTTACTACTTTTGGGTAATGATCATTTTACTGATAACAATGTAATGTAGATTTATCCATAATTACAAACTCCACATGACATGGACATGATGATCATTCTCAGTTTATGTTCAGGCCTCATGTGAAGCTCAGAACCTCCAGAAGTCCCTCCCTGAGCTGCAGAGGCTGCACTAGCACTGGGTTTAGGGAGTGACCATTCAGATCAGAGAGACATTTTAGGTTTAACCCTAGAACACTATCGCCGGGTGATTTTCACCCGAGCAAATGTATTTACATGATTTTCAATATGTTGCAAGTGATCCTGCCACATGTCAAGGGTGACAACATTCAGTCTCACCATATTTACTGTCCCTCTCTGACATCTCAGCTAGTGAGTAACACATAGGTAAGGTTTAGGTAAGGTGTCGATACTTTTGACCAGATGTGTGGTCACTATGGCTGTGGAAGGAAAACCAAGAGATGGCCACTTTGTGTGTTCTATGGTATGATCAATGCTTGTGTGATTAACTCCTGGATCATTCACAATGGGAATGCGATGAAGAGAGGTGACAACCAAATGCAGAGGAGGCCTTATATGCAGGCTTTGGCACTGGCACTCATCAAACCATGGGCAGAGCAGAGACTGTCCTCTTCAAATCTGTCATGTCAACTCAGAGTCCTGATCTGTAGTGTGCTAGACATCCCTACCTCTGGCACTCTTGTGAATGAGGCAGGACCAGTGGCAGCAGAAAGCAATAGTCCCTTAGTGAGGTGTGCTGACTGCCCCGCAGGCTCGGACAGGAAGACACGGCACAGGTGCCATGTCTGCCGTCGACCGGTGTGTCCACGCCATTACTACCCTGCGTGTACTGACTGCATGTAAGGAATAGGTAAGTAAGAATGTTCTTGGAATGTGTATTCTAGCCTTATTTAGTGCAGTGGTTATGAATATATATCACAAAGTGGTGATTTCAAAGTGAATTCTTATGGTGAAAACAATATTTTAATCAAGTGGTCATTTTTACACACTGAAAAAATACTATTTTTTGTTCCTCTCTCCTGTAGCTGTTTGCGTGCCAAGGAGTCTGTGCCTTCACCAGGGAAGTCTCACATGTCTCAGGAATGGGTGGACCAAAGACCAAGTTTCCTCTATCATTTTTTTTTTTTTTAGGAATTTTTTGTTCTCAAATTCCAAATTTTTTAGTAATTTTCAAGCATGTTTGTAGGATCTTCCTATTTTTTTATTTTCCATTTTGTTAAACATACCACAGTTGAAAATAAAAGAAAACCACTCTAATTTATCAAGTGTTGTCATATTTTGATCTATTTTTTATGACAAGTACCTTTTGTTGGGTATATTATATCGGGTAAAAATCACCCGGCAAAAGTGATGGTGTAACTTTTTATAGCGAAAGTGTTCTAGGGTTAAACATACTGGATTTCTGCTTCCTGATTGGATGATCTTTTGTTTCTTTTGTTTTGGTAACTTAAGAATAAATGAGCATTAGAGTTGTCATCAGTAAAAGCTCTAATAAGACTAATGTGTTTGGAGACATGATTTTGGAAAAGAAAAACTAAAATTCTACACACTCCCCTTTCATAAAGACAATAGTCATTAACAGTGTTATAATAGAGTTCACTAATCACACACTTATGAACAAACACCAGCTGTATTTTGACTGATGCATGTTTGGACGACATCTAAAACCTCTTGAAGCATGTTTTGATGAGGGAACAATCAAAAATAGATAGAAATAGATTCTTATTCAAATTTCCACACCTCCTCTGTACTGAAAAATGTACAAAGTAGCAGTTAACTTGAAAACTACCACTTCATGACATCACCAGAGTTACATAATCAGAGTACAAATTATGAGTAACTTTATTCAGTTACAGTTACTGTTTCAAGGAGTGGTAATTGGATTACAGTTACTTTGTTGAAATAAACAGATTATAGGGCTGTATTTTCCTGTTTTTACATTTTGGGCTAAACCAGGACTAAAACTAGAACTAAAACAGGACTAAACTAGGACTAAACCAGGTGTAAAACAATATGACACTTCACACTTAACATTAACAGTAGTGTGGCCATAATTTAAGCAGCAGTGATCTCATATAAAAATCATTTCTCTATCAATAATATTTTTAATATGTTTAAGTAAAGTCTGGGCTTTTTATTTTCTTTTAGCCGATAAAACAAAACACTTTATGTTCAGATCCTCGTCTTTGCTTCTCTACAGTAAAACAAAAGTCTGTTCATGGAGACTTGGGCTCAACAGACAATTTGAAGAAAACAAAGAAGAATTTTCAGGATGTGGTTGTTACATTCATGTAGTTTTAAAAAGCATGACAATATCAAGTAATCCAAAGTATTCAGATTACATTACTCACTTTAAGTAATTTAATGGATTCTGTTACAAACTACATTTTGAGGTGTGTAATCTGTAATCTGTAGGGGAATACATTTTAAAAGTCACCTTCCCAACACTGATTATAGATTGTGCAAATTAAAGATACACTATAATTATAATAAAAAACATAACTTCTGTATTTCCTTTGTCATTTAAATAAGGAAGAGCCACATGCTGTGCTTTATTTCTCACAACCTCACACTTAATAAAGGCTGTTACATTCAATTAAAAGACTAATCAGGCGTCCTCTCCTACACAATGTCCATTCCTATGAACGTCACATTAGGAGCCCGTCATGAAGATTAGCGTTGCCATGGTGACTCCACTCCCTAGCTTCACTCAGAATGCCGTTCTTTACATATCTTGTACACCAGATGCTAACACTTAAGAAGACTACCACATTAAGACACTGTACAAAGCTGAAATACAAAGATGTCAAACAAATTATAGTAATTTGTTTAGGCCTGTCAGTTTTCTGTTGATGTAGAGCTTAAAAGAGCCCCATTCACACATGCACTGCAAAAAAAACTTAAGATGTAAACACTTAGATCTGTCAGAAAATGATTTAAAAGTAGTGAAATGATCTTGCTGCATAGACAGATCATTTTACTTGACAAGTTCGCTTAAAATAAACGACCTTTAGACTAGAATGAAACAGTCTCAGAACTAGTAAATAGATCATAAATCTGAAAACAAAATAAATAACCTGATATAAGTTTTAAAATCTTGGCCAGATCAGAAAAAATAGCAGTGTTGTTTCTAAACCAAACTCATAACAAAAGAAATCATGTTTGTAACAAAGGAAATAAAGATCGTTGCCAAGTGTCATGTCCCTTATTTGCTAAAAGACATACGTCATATAAAACAGTCCATAATGAAGTCAACAGATGTTTGGCTTTTTATTTTGGAACCAAAACATTCAAAAGAGTTTACATAAAATGGTGCGAGGAGGTGCGTGTGAGTTGTGCCAAAAAAAACTAAATCACAGTATAAAGAAACAGGGTCGAACTGAAACCTGTTCCAAGGAAACCAATTTTAACTAAGGAAACCAAGTCTGTAAACAAGGAAACCAAGATGTGTGTAGAATCCCTCAGTGTCCAGGTAGAATCCATGGCAAAAGAAGAAATTCAGTTTGGCAACTGGACAAAAGTTTATTTTTAACTTAACTTAACTTTTTTTTTTCAAAACTTTAACGTTTTCAACCAAAATAAACTTTTGTCCAGTTGACAAATTGAATTTCTTCTTTTGCCAATTAAACCAAGTTTGTAACACAGGAAACCAAGATCGTAACCAAAGAAACCAAGATCGTAGCCAAGGAAACCAAGATCGTAACCAAGGAAACCAAGATCGTAGCCAAGGAAACCAAGATCGTAGCCAAGGAAACCAAGATCGTAACCAAGGAAACCAAGATCGTAGCCAAGGAAACCAAGATCGTAACCAAGGAAACCAAGATCGTAACCAAGGAAACCAAGATCGTAGCCAAGGAAACCAAGATCGTAACCAAGGAAACCAAAATCGTAGCCAAGGAAACCAAGATCGTAACCAAGGAAACCAAAATCGTAGCCAAGGAAACCAAGATCGTAACCAAGGAAACCAAAATCGTAGCCAAGGAAACCAAGATTGTAACCAAGGAAACTAAAATCGTAGCCAAGGAAACCAAGTTCCCAACCAAGGAAATCAAGCTTGTAATCAAGGAAACCAAGTCTGTAATTTAGGAAACCAAGTTCATAACCAAGGAAACTAAGATTGTAACCAAGGAAACCAAGATCTTAACCAAAGAAACCGTACTCCAAACCAAGGAACTGACATTCGTAACCAAGGAAACCAAGTTTATAACCAAGGAAACTAAGCTCATAACCAAGAAAACCAAACTTGTAACCAAAGAAACCAAGATTGTAAAAAGAAAACCAGATAGATAGATAAAATAGATAAATACTTTATTGATCCCAAAGAAAATTCTATCCAAGATAGT